CCCACAATTCATTTAGCTAAGCATGTTACAATCTTGATGAGCTAGTTACAAAATTCAATATAAGTCATCACATCAACAATGGGTTCGAGATCGACCTCAAGTAAGGTTCTAAATTTAGCAACTGACATATGTGGAGAGCTAGTGTCACAATTGATATGTTTGTCCTGCTCACCGCCCCCCATCCAGTGGGCAGCGGTGGATAGGTTACAATCACTCAGTTACTACCTACAGTTAGCAAACTGGGGATATTTGGCTAAAATTTCTGGTAGCAGATCATTTTGAATGAAATATTGACACATCGCTGGAACATTGGTTATAGAATTGTCTCTAAATTCACGTATCTTGGTTGGAACGCACACAAATGAACTGTTGAAAAAAACAACTATTCTAAAAGGCACGAAAAAAAGGCCATAACCAAACCTATACTTTCATATGCCTAATATAATACATACGTAGAAATTGTCAGTCACACTTCGGTGGAAATAAACATTCCATTTAAACATTCCAGGGTTGGGCTCATACAGCCCAGGTGAGTGGACACATAGAAAATCAGGCCCAAGATTGCATACTTGGATCTCAGAGAGGTCAGGTTATACAAGTTACTCCTGCAGTCGTTGCGTACCATTTGCAGTGTTTCAGCATTAACTATTTTGCGCGCGCAGGGATAGGGGGAGTAGGAAGTTGACAGGCAATGTTTGTGTAGAGCAACAGTTGCTGTAAGTACTATATAATTTTAAGACGCTGGGCTACATCTCAAGCGTGTCTACTCGTGTATCTACTAGTTGTGTGTTATTGACCCAGACCTTCCTATAGCAGTGTACTGCTTCACCTTGCAAGCCACGAGCCACCATACATGTTAGAATCCCGTCTGTGGGTCTCCGACAGCCGCCCTGGCTAGGAACTCCTCTTGATTACGCAAGATCTGCTTCTTGCCCTCACACAGGAGGTCGGGCGAGATAATCTTGAGATGATTTCGGGACTTAGCGTCCCCGCGGCCCGGTCCTCGGCCAGGCCTCCTTTTTTATTACACCCCCCCCCCCAAGAAGTAGCCCGTAGCAGCTGTCTCCCAGTTACATATTTACTGCAAGGTGAACAGGTGCATCAGGGTTAAAGAAACTCTGCCCATTTGTTTCCGTCTCCACCGGAGATCGAATCCGGAACCTCAGGACTACGAATCCGAAGTGCTGTCCACTTAGCTATCAGGCCCCTAAAGCACCGTTAGGTTCCCTTTACATGTTTCATGTGGGTTTGGGTACGGAAGAGTTAGGGGTCACGTAATTATTACTGGTATACTCTTTACAGCTTTGTCTTAATTAATGGACCTTTAATTCGTCCCCAATATGTTTGAACATTGGTAAACAGTAGTGCGGTAACCCAGCTGTTATAACCAACCCTAACACCCTTCTCGTGTACCTGTTGGTGGTTTCGAGAGTTCTACTCCCGCAGCCTGGCCTGTAGCCAGCCTTCCCTGACGACTGCCTGGTCTGTGAGGCTGGCTGTTCTCGTAGCCAGCTGGGATAAATACCCGTCACAGCCGCGGTACACACAGCCGCGGTACACACAGCCGCGTATTGAATTCTAACCTCTTAGCTCATATTCCCCTCCCCCCCTTTTTTTTATTACTTAGCATTATTATAAAATTATTTTCTACCCGTTTGCTCCAAGTACTTCTTAAGACTTACCATTCCTCACTCCGAGATGCTGATGAAAGATGGAGAGCAATCCCCAGAGAGACAAAAACAATTTAATAACCTTATGGTTTGATAGATTGTCGAGTCAAACAAAATATGCGAACATTGATCAAAGTTGGAAAGGGAAGGCTGGGCAGACAGAGTCTTCCTACACTGCTGGAAAAGTGATCAATTGCATTAAAGAGCGCCTCTCTGGTCGGAAGCACAGAGTTATAATGACATCAGACTGGAGGGAAGCCACAAACCGAATCCCACATGGGTTAATAGTTTGACCAGTAATATTCCTGGTTCATCTAACTTATATCACTTACTGGCTGCACATTATGGGAAGTTAATGGAGCCACAGCACACGGCTCTGTACCCAAACTTGTTGATACAAAATAAATAATAAACACCACAAACTATGTATGACGACCTGGATAAGACTCCGTAATTTGGAAATGACTACTAGGCTTCAAGGCAGGTAAATGCAAGTGAGCGAGACTTAGGGAGGGAACAAGACGACCCCACTGAAATAACAAGAAATTACTACGTGTAACAAAAGAGAACACCTAAGAGTACAACGCTCAGCCTACCACCAGAGGCTCACAAGCAGGATAACATGACAACTATTGACAGAACTGGAAGAAAAAAGTATTTAGAAACTTAGGGAAGTAAGAAACCTCCTTGATACCTGGTTGATGGGGTTCTGGGAGTAGTTCTACTCCCCAAGCCCGGCCCGAGGCCAGGCTCGACTTGTGAGAGTTTGGTCCACCAGGCTGTTGCTTGGGGCGGCCCGCAGGCCCACATATCCACCACAGCCCGGCTGATCCGGAACGTCTCTTAGACTTCAGTCTGAGACCCAGTCTGCGTATGCGCACACTTAAGACAAAAATGCGCGTGTGCACGCGCACAGAAAAGTGCACGTGTACACACGCGCACAACACAACACAACACACACCCAGTGATCCAAGTGTGTCTCATGCCCGAGATCTACCTGTGGCAGGATGTACAGAATATCCCCATTGAAAAGCAGAGGTGCCATAATTACCCTGAGGGAGAACCATCAACATCAAGGGCCCGAGACTTCCACAGTCTCTACACCAAGAGAGACCCCGACAAACACCTCCAAAGGATACCTGATCAACCAGGCTGTGATTGATACGTCAGGCTGCAAGCAGCCGCGCCCAACAGCCTGGTTGACCGGACGACCAACTGGGAGGCCTGGTCGGAGACCGGGGTCATTGATCCCCGGACTCTACACAAGGTAGACGCGTCTCTTACATGCCCCAGTTGGCCTTCATATTGGGCTTAAGACCTATCGCCCTCGAAAGGGCTATAAAAGCCCTAGCAATTGCTTGCTAATTAACAAAATCAAATCAAATCAAATAAAAACACAAAATAATAGGGGTGGTAGGAGAGGAAAAGATTAAAGTGTTCAGTGAGAATTCACAAGGTCTTCTCTGAATACTCTATTTTCTTCTTCGAGGATGTGGGTCCCTACAATTGCACCAGAGGTGGTACCCCTATTATTTATATATATATATATATATATATATATATATATAAGGCCCGATATATATATATATATATATATATATATATATATATATATATATATATATATATATATATCGCACACACTAAAAGCAGGGATAACCTCACTGTATCTAGTTAACCTCCCCCCCCCCCTCCCTGCCACTTCTCCAAGTGGTTGTATGCACCACTCTCCCCTCCCCCCCCCCCCTCCCTGCCACTTGTACACTTCCTCGTCTCTCCCTCCCCTCCCCCAGAGCCCCAGCGAGGGTGTTCCTACTGGAACCGTTCCAAGGGGGCGAGACAACGTTTCAGTAATACATCCACATTGAGAGCCTGGCGTCAGCTGGCCATGTTGTCCCACGGGCTCGCTCCCAGTAATGCCACAGTGTGCCAAGACGTGCCAGCAGGAGGGGGGAGGAGAGAGGGAAGTGGACATAGGGGGAGTTACGTATGGAGGCGGGGCAAGTAGGTTACAGAGCGCCATGTACTCACCTAGTTGTACTCACCTAGTTGTACTCACCTAGTTGTGTTTGCGGGGGTTGAGCTCTGGCTCTTTGGTCCCGCCTCTCAACCGTCAACAATGTATGCAGGCGGCGAAGAGGAGGTACCGGCAAGAAGTAAATGGGAAGAACACACATTTGTAGGTCGAGGGGGAGAGAACAGACAGCCTAACGAGGTGCATGTGGGGTAGTTGGCGCGGCATGTGTGAGGGGAAGTGTGGTGGGTGGGTGGGGGGGGGGGCCGAGTATTGTGTACTCGCTTAATTGTGCTTGCGGGGGTTGAGATCTGGCTCTTTGGTCCCGCCTCTCAACCGTCATCAACTGGTGTACAGGTTCCTGAGCCTACTGGGCTCTATCATATATACATTTGAAACTGTGTATGGAGTCAGCCTCCACCACATCACTGCCTAATGCATTCCACCTGTTAATTAAAGATGGTGGTGCCTTCTAAAACAGACGAGTGTTATAAAGTTCTTTCTGACGTCCCTGTGGCTCATTTGGGTACTAGCTTTCCACCTGTGTCCCTCTTGTTCGCGTCCCACCCGTGCTAAAATTTAGTTTATCTTTTTCTACCGTCAATTCCTCTGAGAATTTTATAGGTAGTAATCATGTCTCCCTAAAATTTTCTGTCTTCCAGTATCGTGAGGGTGGGGTGAGGGTGTTTACTCACCTATTTGTGTCTGAAGGATCGAGCATTAGCTCTTGGATCTCGCCTTTCTGGCCGCCGGTTGTTTAAAACAACGACTCCTGTTCTATTTCCCTATATCCAGTTTTAAAATGATGAAGTGTGTTTGCCTCAAAATTGTGCTCCTCGAGTTCATTCCATTTTTCCACTAGTCTCACGTTAAAGAAAAACTTCCTAACATCTCTGACTCATCTGAGTTGACAGCTTCCACCCGTGTCCCCCTTGTTCCACCACAGCACTTCCCAATGCATGCCATTACCATTGTGTGTGTGTGGGGGGGGGGAGAGGGGTTGGGGGTTGGAAGGGGTTGGTGTGTGCTCACAGTAACCATACATAAACAATTATCAAAACCATCCGAATAATGCCTACTTCACAAGCCCTGGATGGCAGCTCGGGGTGACCTACATCACGGAGGACGACAGCCACTTACCCATCTGGGAGCCACCTGACCTGGGGGGCGGCTTACCCCAGTACACACCCCCCACCCACTTCCCACCCCCAGTCCCCTGACTGTCCTTACACACCACCATAGCTATCCCAGAGCTCCACAGTCATCTCGCGCGCCACAATGATAATATTGTAGTTGGTGTCAAACACAGCCTCTTCGGAATTTGGTGTTCCCGCCCTGAGAGGTAAAAAGTATGATTTACATTATTTTGTATACTGCCTTTCCTTAGCTTACAGTATTGTTAAACACACAGTGTTACGTGCTGCTCACACGGCCTCCATGAGAACAGCAGCTCTTTACATATTAATTAATAAGACATCAAATGAACATGCTTCCAAAACTAGGTCTACAAGAATTAGTCACTTGGTACTTCAGACAACGTTAATTCACACACAGGCGGCGGGTGTTAGAAGGTCGGGTATCTCACACAACAGTACCGGCGGAGGGAGGCGTCAACGCTGCGGTCGAATGCTGCTTCTGACAGGTACAGAAGGGCTTCCTGTCTGAGGTCGTCTTCCAAGGGTTCAGGCGACTGGCTGCTGGGTCGTCTCGTGGCCAGGCTGCTGAACGAGGAGGGCCTAGGTCGTGAGAACAGCTGCGGGGGAATCTCTAACTCGACTCTGTACTTCGAGTTGGCAGAGTGAGCTCGCCGTCGAGAGCGCGATTTTTGTCTGCTCTGCGGCCTCGACCCTTCCCGAGGCACCGAGGACGTGTCTCGACTCCTGTGCGAGCCGGAGGGCGGAAGTGGCGAGGGTGGCGGCTTTCCTAAGTCGGAGGCGGCACTGGCAGGTCGGTATGGAGGATCGTCATGGAGCTGCCCCGACCATCGGCTGTCAGGTGTTGGAGTGTGCTGCAGGTGGGCACACCTGACGTCTTCCGGGCAGCCAGCACTATCGGGGTATTGCGGGTGGGACCATGACCCGCCTCCCATACCCCAGCGCCCGCCCAAACACGACATGACGTCTGCCAGGAGTGACTGGTGGTGTTGGTGATGTTGGCGCAGGTGATAGAGGTGCTGCTGGTGAAGATGTTGGTGATGTTCCCACATAGTTTTGTGCCACTCCCAGGCAGCTGTGTGTTGCTCCCACCCAGGCGTACCATTCTGGGGGTCAGTGGTGCAGTCTGACTGCTCCGTCTCGTTGCTTCTCTCACTCTCATCCACCGACGGGCTCTTGCGATGAAATTGAGGCGTTGACGACAGTGGGTGAACTTCTTCCGGGATGAATTCCTCGTCTAAGGTGGAGCATTGAGCAGGCTCGTGGTACTCGGGATGGCGCTCACCCGTCAGCTGCGAGACGTGCGGCGCTGCTTCCTCGTTTGCAGAATCTGAAATGCTCACATTGTTGAGACACTTGTCTGTAGACAGTGTTTCCTCCTCCCATTCACTACTAACATCTTCTGTATCACCGGCAGTGGTCCACACACCGGATAAACGACGTTTCTGCGTCTTGGGTTCACTTGTGCAGTCCTCGTCACCCACTACACGTGTGTCATCCACGCTACTGTGTGTTGTAATCTCTTCCTCCAGATTTTCATACTCAGGCACATAAACCTTCTCTTCGGGCGTCGCACTGAGGTATACCTTACCGTAGTAGTCGCTGCTAGAGACGCTGGACCTCACATCAGAGTCAGTGGTGGCCCAACAGGGAGTAGCGTGGACCAGGGGGCTCTCTCTCTTCCTCGAGTCTTCCTGGGAACTCAGTGAGTCGAGGTAGCGACCACGGAACGTGGGAATACTTGAACTGGACACACTCGACCTATTTGAGGAGCCTGGTTCAGCCACGCAGGGCACAGCGTGAACTACGTCACCGCCACTTGCTAGTGCGTCATCCTCAGACTCGCACGTCGAATTACACATCTCAGGAGAGTCGCACTCTCTCGAGTCTTCTAAAGTTTTAATATCACTACACAATTCATATTCATCACAATCACTATCTGTATCATTATCACTATCATCGTCATGTATAGACGTTGAGGATATTACGTCCTCATCATCAGTACGAACACGAATCTTAATCTCTCCCTCGGAAAGACTGACGTCAACATCACAGTTGAGGTCCCCGCTGATGGTCCTGGAGATGTTGGAAGTGCTGGAACGGTCTAGCCGCTTGACAGGTGTGACAGGTGCTGGTGTGCCATCCCCATCCGTAGTCTCCTGCAGTGGAGTCAACGCCTCATATTGGGGGCACGTGACGAAGGAGTAGCGTGCAGTTGTGTCGTCGTTAAACGACTTGGGACGGTCGTTGACGGATCCTGCGGCACTGTAGTAAAAAGATGTTGATTCTGAGGCAACTGACTCGGCTGAGGGAGAGTTGGAGAGCCGGCCCTCGTGTGAACCGTCAACAGAGCTGTCTTCCCACGTGTCCTCGGCCTGGGGTCTTCTCCAACGTGTCGGCGACGAAGGCAACGATCCTCCTGAAGTGGCCGATGACTGGGATGTCCTTCGAGCCCGGGAAAACTGTGGCGGCGTCGTAGGCAGGGAAGGTGGCCGAGCGCGTCGCCGGCGAGCAGGTGTGCTGCTACCAGAATCAGCCCCATGCCAGCCGAAAGGGTTAATTTTATTGATGGTACCGCCCTCCACCCGTCCACTAACTCTGCTCCACTCATCACACAAAACCCCAACGTGACTTCCATTCATCTCCCCGTTATCTCTCGCGTCACTGGTATGCGTTGGTGCGTTTTCTGTGTCTGTCGTCGATCCCCTGTTGTTACTCCCTGATCCACTGCTATGTCCCTCTGCTACCGCTCGTCCGCCGGCCTCGCCACTGGGTCTTCCAGACTCGCTATTATTCCCATGTTTGTTGCTACTCTCTCCCTTTGACCCGCCGCAGCTCTCTTGCTGCGCCCTGTCGCTGCCCTCACCGCCTGGCGTTGCATGTGCTCCAGCTGACCTTGACCTCGATTGCTTACTCCAGTGGCTATCCGACCCTTGACTGAGACTGCTATATTTCGTAGACGTCTGGGGAACTGCTTCACCTAATACTCCACTTAGTTCCTTGATATTACAATTTATTTCCGAGGCCGAGGGATTTCTACACTTGCCGAATGAATGTTTTTCATGGAAGGTCAGGTTTTCATAGGCATCAGTGTTGGTGTTAGTCTGTACAAGATGGTGGGCGGTGGTGGGCAGGTTGCACCGGAAGTTCCTTTCTACTGACTCTGAGCTTGGCTCCCGGCCACGGCTCGCTCGTGGACTCGCTCGTGGGCTCTCAAAACACTCCCCACTCTTCTTACTTCCTTCATTTATAATTGTTTTATTTGCAGATTCTTCAGTGTTTCTGCGACGTGTGGGTGGTGTGGGCGTAGCAACGTTATCTAGCAGGTCACGACTATTTTTGAGGGCACGTCGTGGGCGTGGGCTGGGAACAGGCACAACGTCATTGGAGATGTCGTACTTGGAGCTATCTTTAGTGTGGGCTCTCACCTGTATTACCTCAGGCTTAGATGAGATCGCCGCGTGAGGCTCGCTTCTACCCTCGCCACCTGGTGACGTGGCTGTGGGAGGGCGAGACCCCTGCGAGGCGGATGACTTACACCCACCAGACACGACCCCACTACAAGGTGCTGGGTGATCGTACACTAAAGCATGCGGGCGAGGGCTGCTCACACCACACTCGCTCACCACCAGCCCGCCATCGTCGTCTTTCTCCCTGATATTATCACCTGTGCTCACACCTCTCAACCGCGGAGCAGCCGAGCCAATAGCATTTAGGATGCCAGAAAAATATTTTCGCGGTTTGGACTTTGATTTGCTTTTCCCGCTGCCCTTGTTAGATTTCCTCGTTACTTCCTCATTTCGTTCATCGATGTTGGAAAGTTTAAACTCGTGCGCCAGGAGCCTGGGCGACTCAGGAGCGGGCTGGGCATCACCGATATTGTACTCTGATACACAGATTTTGCTGTTAGGGAATGAGGAACTCAGAAAGGTGGGTGGATGCTTGCGTCTCCCACCTTGGCTTTCACGAAACTGGGGCGGCTCAAGCACCAGTTCACTCTTTTGCACCGTGGCACCACCACTACCCTGCTTGTTCTCCCCTGGGGGGGACAGCAGCGTCTGGCTGTCGCTCTGCTCCCCACCACTTACTGGCACTTCAAAAACTGCTCTTTGCGTTGCCTGAGCAAATTTACGGTCGCTGCCAGTACCCACCTGAACACGGTGCAGCTGGAACTCGTTGCCGAATACCTTGATGGAGGCAGAGCTGGTGGTGCCGGAGCTGCCGTCTGCAGCAGTCTGGCGTCGGCGACTATGACCCGGGGACTGTGGGAAAGACTTCCTTGTCATCTTGGATTTGGGTTTTGGTCTCGTGTGGCAGCAGCTGCTTGTGCCGCTGGAGGACGACAGGGTGTCCGTGCTCGCCCTCCACTCTGAAGAAGTTCGTATACTCCTCCGTGTAGTGTCTACACTGGAGGACCGCGGCGAGGGGTCAGCCTCGGGTACCATTCTCACCCTCTGGCTGCTCCCACTTGATACTCCATCACCCACCTGTTGGTTTCCATTTGTGGAGTTGGAACGATCACAGGGTTGGACATTTTGGTAGGTCAAACTGTCATTCACCTTACCGGCAGTCTTTCCCCAACCTATAAAAGGCTGCTCTTTTGCCGCTAACGACTGTGGCACTGTGGGCTTCACCTTGTCTTTGTTGGTCCTCTGAGTAAGAGGCGGCGTCAAGTGAATAGTGATGTTACTTCTGTTCATCTCCTTGTCCTGCACGAGATCAACACTTGCAACTTCCGTGTGATCTTGCTCACCAGAGCCTGCCCCAGTGCGCCCCTCCAGTTCCTCTGCTCTACTTCCAACTTGGTGCTGATGTTCAAGTTGCCCGGCGTCGTGGAATGCGGTATCTTCGGTAGGACGAAGGTTTACACTCGCTACGATTATCCTCTCCCCCTCAGCCACACTACATCCCACTTGGACCTCGTCTTCCACTTGTGTATCCTGTGTGTGTGTACCTCCGCTCTCCTCTGCTTCACTTGGCACACTCTTCTCTCCTGACGTGGCCACGGATGCACAAGACTCTGATTTTGTTGTTTCTAGTTCCTGGGCTGCTATACCCTCCCTCAGGATAGAGAGGGCGTTCTTAATAACACTGGCGTTGAGGATGGAGTGTGTATCATGCACGGCAGCAGAGTGGTGAACGACAAGACCTTGGCTGAGAACTCTGTGGGTCCTCTCCGTCGTGCTGTCGTCCACACTAGCGCCCCCATCCACACTACTCTCTCTGCAACCACCACACCCTCCACCGTCTGCTTGTACGCCTACCTTTCCTACACTCGCGCGAGCACATTCCCACACGCCTTCCCTGCACTGAATCTTATCTTCACCCGCTTTAAATTTGCCATTAACAAATTCCAAATTTTGCACGCCAGTTGTGAACACATTGTCGTCTACATCCTCTTTGTCAGGGGTGGTGAGGGCTGGGATCAGCGTCTCCTCGCTACCACCCACTCGTTCGCGCTCAGTGTGTGTGCTGCTCTGAACTTTGGAGGGGCGCCGCCGCCTCTCCAAGTCGTGCTGGGGAAACTGTAAGAGCTTGTGTTCCTTCACCTTGCGGAGGCCGAGCCTTAAACGTGAGAGCTTGGTCTCGTCAACGCTACACGACTTGCGGGTCTGGTAGCCACATACCGGCAAGTGTTTATATGGGGCGGCGTGGGTGGCAGCCTCCCCACCCCAAGCAGCCACGCCACCGCCCTCGCCCCTCCACACCCGCCCGCCGCCGTTCTTGGTGGCACTAACCCCACTAGAATAAGCAGCATCTCCGCCAAGAGGTGCCGCCGCCGCTGCAGCTTGGCCCAGCTGTTGTCCCCGAAGCCTGGCCCTGACGTCACTGGGCAGTCGTACGTCTGGCGCACTCCGCCAGCGGCGCCACATCTGGCCCAGTGTGTCCTTGTCGCTGGGCTCCGCGTCAGCCTCGTAGCCCTCAGAGTCGTCCGTGAACCACGAGTTACTGTTGTCCGTGTCACAGTACGTTGTGTCAATACTTGGGCTTCCACCGTCTAACCCTTTCTGCGGGTTGTCTTCGGCCTCGTCAGAGGACGAGGAACAAGACGCCGAGCCCATGGAAGATGATGAGGAAGAGGACGATGACTTATGGAGATCGGCAGGGTTATCACCAAGAAAATTTTCGTCCGCAGCCTTGGGCTCTGCAGGCGGTAGTGTGACCTCAGCCTCCTTTACCTCCGAGTCTGAGAGCGGGGCGGGGTCCTTGAAGTACTCCTCCACCACCTGCTTGACGAAGGCCTCGTCCTCATGCCAGGTCTTGCGCTCCCCACCTGACGGGGAGACAATCCCCTGAATCTTGGAGAGTAACTCCCCGGGGCCTAACTGGTCGTCGTTCCTCAACACCTCACACGACACCGCCTCATACTTAACTTGTGGTTTTTCCACGAATATGAAGCTCTCTTCTGCCAGTCCCTCACCGATGTCCATACCATCCCCACCATGAGGTCCACCATCACCATTGCCTGGCCCACCACCATAAAAAGCAGAATGAAGAGAGTTAAGTCTGGCGCTAACACCAAGAGCAGCTACTCCTCGACGCCTCATGTTACCAACACCATAGTTACCCAAGCTGGACCTAAGCCCTGAACCAGCTGTGCTGGTAACAGCCCGACACCTGCAGGCGAGAGACTCGCAGCTGGCGGCCCTGGCGTGGCTCAGGGAGTGACGCTTGAGGTGCTCCACTCCCTCATACCCGCCATAGGAGTCGCCGCCGGAGGTCTCGCCCACGCTGTCGTCTAGGCTGCCCAAGTGCATGCACGAGAGAGATGCCCACCTGTAGCGGCTCTTCCGCTGGCGGTGACGCGGGCTCACGCCATTCCAGCACCGCTTCTGTCCCTTGCGGTCCTCACACGCCCTCGGATTAATGCCCACCTGTTGCTGAAGCGTCCGCCGCTCGTGTTGTGCTACCTGTTGCTGTACGCTGGTCTGCTGCATCGACTGCCGAGGTAGCTGCGCCGGCGACATGTTTTCGTCGCAGGTGTCGTCGTCACTACCCTGGTCACACTCGAGGGGGGCGTGTGAGTGTGGACCAAACAAGAGGCGGTGCACAATGCGCCTGGGCGAGAAGTGGTGGTTGTGGTGGTCGGGAGCAGGACACGTGGCGTAGTACAGCGGCTGCTGCTCCGTCGGAGGCTGGGCCTCAAAGCTGGCTTTCTTCTTAGGGGTGAGGGTGATGCTGAAGGGCCGAGACTTAGAGCGCCACTCTACGTTCACTTGGTAATGGCCAGGTTTGAGGGTAATGGTAAATTTCTTCGTTTGTTGTTGATTTTGTTGGTAGCCAAACTGATCGAACTGCTGCTGCTGCTGCTGCTCAAACTGTTGTTGCCCTGAATGCTGTTGCTGCTGCTGTCCAAATTCCTGTTGTCGAGGTTGTTGCTGTGGCCGCCTGAGAAACGGCTGCTGACCAAACTGGTTGTGTTGCTCGTAGGTGGGTTGTGCAAGGTGAGGGTGGGGCGACGGAGGGCCCCCTACCGGAGAAGATCTCGGGCACTGAAGGGGCGTTGTGGGCGGAATGTTGACCTCAGCGTAGCACGGACTCCGTCCGCCAGTGACGACGCCAACCGACCCACGGGAGCCAACAGTGCGAGTGACGACAGGAGCCCCGCGGTCTTTGTTCACAGTCTTAGCCTTGTTAAAGTGTCTCAACAAGTAGGACTTTAGGTGACTTTTCTCGTAACTCTTATGTTGTCCTGCATAAGGCTGAGAAGGCTGCACATTCAAATTATTCCTAAAAATGTCATCATATTTTGGTGGCTCGTCTAGGACCTCCCGATACTGGGTAGTGGGAGGCAGGTGTTGGGTGCGAGGGGCCTGGTAGCTATGTTGGGCGGGGGCCTGGTAGTTATGTTGGGTGCGAGGCGCCTGGAAGTTATGTTGGGTGGGGGCCTGGTAGCTATGTTGGGCGGGGGCCTGGTAGCTATGTTGGGCGGGGGCCTGGTAGCTATGTTGGGCGGGGGCCTGGTAGCTATGTTGGGCGGGGGCCTGGTAGCTATGTTGGGCGGGGGCCTGGTAGCTATGTTGGGCGGGGGCCTGGTAGCTATGTTGGGCTGGGGCCTGGTAGCTATGTTGGGCGGGGGCCTGGTAGCTATGTTGGGCGGGGGCCTGGTAGCTATGTTGGGCGGGGGCCTGGTAGCTATGTTGGGCGGGGGCCTGGTAGCTATGTTGGGCGGGAGGAGGGCGGCAGTAGGCGCTGTAGTATTGTGGTGCCCCTCCGAGCCCTGTGGTGCACGCCCCGTTGGCACGCCCGGGGTTGGGTTGAAGTGTAGCCCGAGGGAGTCCGGAACGGAGGTCCAGATTCACTCTCAGCACGTTGTCCTGAGTGGCCACCTTCCCTTGAGGGCCGCGCCGTCGACGTCGACCTTCTGCCATGGGCGCAGCTGCCGTCAAGGGCTGGGCCTGGCGCCGAGGGCTGGGCCTGGCGCCGAGGGCTGGGCCTGGCGACGTCTGCCTACGCCACCATTGGTCTCCTGTGTGTATCGTCAATGACCACCGACAGTTCTTCACATGCACACTGCCTATAGTGTATGGCACACTACACCTCCACTACATCCTGTCTAGAACTGTTATACACCAAAACAAAAATCAAATTATTCTTTGAATTACCCAACTGTTGTATACCTGACATTCCTCAAACACACCATCAGCATTCACGTCAGCTGCTTTTGACAAACTAATGTTTATATAATGAGAAACATTAAGTTAAACAAGAAACATTTAGCAGAAACCCCACCAAACTGTTTATGTACGAAACAAAAAAAAACGGAACTGACTCACTGACTGGCCCAACTTGTTCATTTTTCAGTCATACAAAACGATATATTACAATAAGTGTAACTTTCCATTGCGCGTCACCTAGATGTAGTAGCTGGGTATGACTAATTTTCTTTATAATGAATGTGCCCATAACTTGAGATTTTTTTTTAATTACCGACATTAGTTTAAAGAAAAGTAATTTTACATTAGGCCTACGAGCCCTTAAATTCCTAGTACCCAGCGCACAATTACAAATTAACAAATTATTCCAAATTCACAAATAATGCAGACTGCTTGAATTTGTTTAAGTAAAGGTAAAGTAATCGAAGAATGTGCGAATTTTAGACTTAATTTTGTCCAAAGTAAATTTATCACCCATTCCCTCTATATCCCAAACCTAATATCATGCAAGTGATCCTTCCTATCAGATTTCCCTATCTCTCCTATCCTTACTGTTCCCTTACGCTCCTATGCTCACTTCCCCGCCTCTCTCCACTCTTCTCCCCTTCCACACCTTTACTCCTTCCCTTAACCTTCAAAGCTAAGTGTCACTCACCCAGAGTATAAACCTTCCCCTCTTCTCACAAACACTGGCACCCCCTCGCTTACGCACTAAACAATACCACTCCTCCAACCGTAACCCCACCACTACACCGTATCTCCACCTCCCTCGCCTCGACACTAAACAATACCACTCCTCCAACCGTAACCCCACCACTACACCGTATCACCACCTCCCTCGCCCCAACACTCAAACCCCCTTCCTCACCTTAGAATACAAGCGTAAACAAACAGTAGAGGGCGTATATGAGCAGACAGCGCCTATTTACACCCCAGAACAACTCCACCCAGCGCCCAGCCGCTGCTCTACTACGCCACAGAACCCCCACCCCCCCCCCCCCACCCTCTCTTACCTTACCCCGTAGTAACCCCATTCCCCCTTACTTATCCTCCACAAATTAGGAAATATATCCAAGCCATAATATACCGGGTCTTTTCCAAACCTACACTTACCCAATTTGTAAGTGTAAAAACCTACCTTTGTAAGTACTAAAAAAGTAAAAAAAAACTAGTGTAAAAAAACCTAAAAAAACTATCCAAACCTACTTATAGGACGTTACTTATTAACGTCCCGTTTGTTAGACCCTTCATATATGTGCATGGTACTGTCACGTCTTATCTTGAGGTTATCTTGAGATGATTTCGGGGCTTTAGTGTCCCCGCGGCTCGGTCCTCGACCAGGCCTCCACCCCCAGGAAGCAGCCCGTGACAGCTGACTAACTCCCAGGTACCTATTTACTGCTAGGTAACAGGGGCATTCAGGGTGAAAGAAACTTTGCCCATTTGTTTCTGCCTCGTGCGGGAATCGAACCCGCGCCACAGAATTACGAGTCCTGCGCGCTATCCACCAGGCTACGAGGCCCCCTACCAGGCTACGAAGCCCTAAGTCTTGCCAGATGGTGTAAATTAAGCTTTCTTAATCACCTGTCCATTTAAAAAAAAATATCTATGTTGTCTTATAGAGGTATTGAGCCTTCATCCGGGAATTTATCCCCCCCCCCCTCCCCAACACACACTACCTTGTACAAATCTACAAATGTCGCTCTTCGGTCCCGAGTATAAATCATTAATATATATACATTATAGTAAACAGCGGAGGTTCCCACACTGAGACCCCGCCCCCCCCCCCCACTCCACTTACGACCGTTCCCACTACCACTTTCCTCCACTTACGTCAACCCTCAGTTCCCAGTATAATGACCCCCACCATCTGTGCTAACCCTCAGTTCCCTGTATAATGACCCCCACCATCTGTGCTAACCCTCAGTTCCCTGTATAATGACTCCACCATCTGTGCTAACCCTCAGTTCCCAGTATAATGACTCCATCTGTGCTAACCCTCAGTTCCCAGTATAATGACTCCATCTGTGCTAACCCTCAGTTCCCTGTATAATGACCCCCACCATCTGTGCTAACCCTCAGTTCCCTGTATAATGACCACCATCTGTGCTAACCCTCAGTTCCCAGTATAATGACTCCATCTGTGCTAACCCTCAGTTCATTGTATAATGACCCCCACCATCTGTGCTAACCCTCAGTTACCAGTATAATGACCCCCACCATCTGTGCTAACCCTCAGTTCCCAGTATAATGACTCCACCATCTGTGCTAACCCTCAGTTACCAGTATAATGACTGCACCATCTGTGCTAACCCTCAGTTACCAGTATAATGACTCCACCATCTGTGCTAACCCTCAGTTCCCTGTATAATGACCCCCACCATCTGTGCTAACCCTCAGTTCCCTGTATAATGACCCCACCATCTGTGCTAACCCTCAGTTCCCAGTATAATGACTGCACCATCTGTGCTAACCCTCAGTTCCTAGTATAATGACTGCACCATCTGTGCTAACCCTCAGTTCCTAGTATAATGACCCCCACCATCTGTGCTAACCCTCAGTTCCCAGTATAATGACTCCACCATCTGTGCTAACCCTCAGTTACCAGTATAATGACCCCCACCATCTGTGCTAACCCTCAGTTCCCAGTATAATGACTCCACCATCTGTGCTAACCCTCAGTTACCAGTATAATGACCCCCACCATCTGTGCTAACCCTCAGTTCCCAGTATAATGACTCCACCATCTGTGCTAATCCTCAGTTCCCTGTATAATGACCCCCACCATCTGTGCTAACCCTCAGTTCCCTGTATAATGACCCCACCATCTGTGCTAACCCTCAGTTCCCAGTATAATGACTGCACCATCTGTGCTAACCCTCAGTTCCTAGTATAATGACTACACCATCTGTGCTAACCCTCAGTTCCTAGTATAATGACCCCCACCATCTGTGCTAACCCTCAGTTCCCAGTATAATGACTCCATCATCTGTGCTAACCCTCAGTTACCAGTATAATGACCAGTTATATATGAATATATAATAATGGGTTGAGCTCTGCTCTTTCGGGCCGCATCTCAACTGTCAATCAACTGTTACTAACTAATCCCCCCCCCCCTACACACACACACCCGCGAAGCAGCCCGTAACAGCTGTCTTAACTTCCAGGCACCTATTTATTGCTAGGTAACAGGTGCATCAGGGTGAAACAAACTGTCCGTTTTGTTTCTTCCATCACAGGGGATCGAACTCGGACCCTAGGATTACGAGTCTAGAGCGATGTCCACTCAGCTATCAGGCCCCCCCCCCCGCCCTAGCCACCTGTACTCCTTTGTTGGACCACTGATTCAACATTTTCTAGCAATATGTTAATCCTGATATGTAATATTTACATTTGCTAACATTTAATATCCACCCAAGATGTGTTAACCACTGATAAAGTGTGGGGTGGGGTGGGTGGGGTGGGTGGGTGTGTGTGTGTGTATGTGTGTATGTGTGTGTGTGTGTGTATGTGTGTATGTATGTATGTGTGTGTGTGTGTGTGTGTATGTATGTGTGTGTGTGTGTGTGTGTGTGTGTGTGTGTGTGTGTGTGTGTGTGTGTGTGTGTATATATGTGTGTGTGTGTAGATATATATGTGTGTGTGTGTGTGTATATATATATATATATGTCGTACCTAGTAGCCAGAACTCACTTCTCGGCCTACTACGCAAGGCCCGATTTGCCTAATAAGCCAAGTTTTCATGAATTAATTGTTTTTTCAGCTACCTAACCTAACCTAACCTAACTTTTTCGGCTACCTAACCTAACCTAACCTATAAAGATAGGTTAGGTTAGGTTAGGTTAGGTTAGGTTAGGTTAGGTAGGGTTGGTTAGGTTCGGTCATATATCTACGTTAATTTTAACTCCAATAAAAAAAATTGACCTCATACATAATGAAATGGGTAGCTTTATCATTTCATAAGAAAAAAAATAGAGGAAATATATTAATTCAGGAAAACTTGGCTTATTAGGCAAATCGGGCCTTGCATAGTAGGCCACAAAGTACGTTCTGGCTACTAGGTACGACATATGTATGTATATGTGTGGGGTGGGGTGGGGGCGGGGTGGGGTGGGGTGGGGTGGGGAGGGGTGTGTGAGTAAGCAGGGAGGGAAGTGGAGGTGTTGTGAGTGTACAAGAATGCATGGATCACTAATCCATGTGATTAAACCCACATGACAGAAAAGCCTGAGGCCGCCTCTTCAACTACTAGAGGTGATTTCACTTTAGAGACCATTAACATTTAGCGTTTCTTCAACGTGTGTTTTCCTGATGTGTGGCTTTCTGGCCCCACAACGCTCACCCGGTGCCAGTTGTCAACACCACCACCAGGGACTATTCTACCACCGTCAACACCAGGGACTATTCTACCACCGTCAACACCAGGGACTATTCTACCACCGTCAACACCACCACCAGGGACTATTCTACCACCGTCAACACCACCACCACCAGGGACTATTATACCACCGTCAACACCACCACCACCAGGGACTATTCTACCACCGTCAACACCACCACCACCAGGGACTATTCTACCACCGTCAACACCACCACCAGGGACTATTCTACCACCTTCAACACCACCACCAGGGACTATTCTACCACCGTCAACACCACCACCAGGGACTATTCTACCACCGTCAACACCACCACCAGGGACTATTCTACCACCGTCAACACCACCACCAGGGACTATTCTACCACCGTCAACACCACCACCAGGGACTATTCTACCACCGTCAACACCACCAGCAGGGACTATTCTACCACCTTCAACACCACCACCAGGGACTATTCTACCACCGTCAACACCAGCACCAGGGACTATTCTACCACCGTCAACACCACCAGCAGGGACTATTCTACCACCGTCAACACCACCACCAGGGACTATTCTACCACCGTCAACACCACCACCAGGGACTATTCTACCACCGTCAACACCACCACCAGGGACTATTCTACCACCGTCAACACCACCACCAGGGACTATTCTACCACCGTCAACACCACCACCAGGGACTATTCTACCACCTTCAACACCACCACCAGGGACTATTCTACCACCGTCAACACCACCACCAGGGACTATTCTACCACCGTCAACACCACCACCAGGGACTATTCTACCACCGTCAACGCCAGCACCAGGGACTATTCTACCACCGTCAACACCACCACCAGCGACTATTCTACCACCGTCAACACCAGCACCAGGGACTATTCTACCACCGTCAACACCACCACCAGGGACTATTCTACCACCGTCAACACCACCAGCAGGAACTATTCTACCACCGTCAACACCACCAGCAGGGACTATTCTACCACCGTCAACACCACCACCAGGGACTATTCTACCACCGTCAACACCAGCACCAGGGACTATTCTACCACCGTCAACACCACCACCAGGGACTATTCTACCACCGTCAACACCACCAGTAGGAACTACTATACCACCGTCAACACCACCAGCAGGAACTATTCTACCACCGTCAACGCCAGCACCAGGGACTATTCTACCACCGTCAACACCACCACCAGGGACTATTCTACCACCGTCAACACCAGCACCAGGGACTATTCTACCACCGTCAACACCACCACCAGGGACTATTCTACCACCGTCAACGCCAGCACCAGGGACTATTCTACCACCGTCAACGCCAGCACCAGGGACTATTCTACCACCGTCAACACCACCACCAGGGACTATTCTACCACCGTCAACGCCAGCACCAGGGACTATTCTACCACCGTCAACGCCAGCACCAGGGACTATTCTACCACCGTCAACACCACCACCAGGGACTATTCTACCACCGTCAACACCACCACCAGGGACTATTCTACCACCATCAACACCACCACCAGGGACTATTCTACCACCGTCAACAAGCACCAGCACCAGGGACTATTCTACCACCGTCAACACCACCAGCAGGGACTATTCTACCACTGAAGGAACTCCACTCCCAGAGCGCCAGGCCCGTGGCGTCATAATTATTCCATTGTATCCCAGCTTCAAGACAACAGAAGGGTGCTACAGGCTTTGAATAACTGAAATAACAATGTAGTTACAACATGACTTAAAACCACTATTTAGTGGCAACTTCTTTACCATTAACGTTTAGCTGATGCGGGTAAAAGGTTAGCAACACCAATTATGGTTCTCCAGGCTAATTAATAGCTGGTGAGACTATAAGATACAAGTACTGAAAGCCTTGGGTGTACTGTTTGTTCCAGGTTCCACAAGGTGGCTGCTAGTACACTGTTCTACAGATCCCACGGACGGGCTACACTGTTCTACAGATCCCACGGACGGGCTACACTGTTGTAAATATGATAGGGACGGGCTACACTGTTGTAAATATCACAGGGACGAGTTACACTGTTGTAAATGTCACAGGGACGCGTTACACTGTTGTAAATATGACAGGGATGCGTTACACTGTTGTAAATATGACAGGGACGGGCTACACTGTTGTAAATATGACAGGGACGGGCTACACTGTTGTAAATATGACAGGGACGGGCTACACTGTTGTAAATATGACAGGGACGGGCTACACTGTTGTAAATATGACAGGGACGCGATACACTGTTGTAAATATCACAGGGACGCGTTACACTGTTGTAAATATCACAGGGACGCGTTACACTGTTGTAAATATGACAGGGACGGGCTACACTGTTGTAAATATCACAGGGACGCGTTACACTGCTGTAAATATGACAGGGACGCGTTACACTGTTGTAAATATGACAGGGACGGGCTACACTGTTGTAAATATCACAGGGACGCGTTACACTGCTGTAAATATGACAAGGATGCGTTACACTGTTGTAAATATGACAGGGACGGGCTACACTGTTGTAAATATGACAGGGACGGGCTACACTGTTGTAAATATGACAGGGACGCGTTACACTGTTGTAAATATGACAGGGACGGGCTACACTGTTGTAAATATGACAGGGACGCGTTACACTGTTGTAAATATGACAGGGACGGGCTACACTGTTGTAAATATGACAGGGACGCGATACACTGTTGTAAATATCACAGGGACGCGTTACACTGTTGTAAATATGACAGGGACGGGCTACACTGTTGTAAATATCACAGGGACGCGTTACACTGCTGTAAATATGACAGGGACGCGTTACACTGTTGTAAATATGACAGGGACGGGCTACACTGTTGTAAATATCACAGGGACGCGTTACACTGCTGTAAATATGACAAGGATGCGTTACACTGTTGTAAATATGACAGGGACGGGCTACACTGTTGTAAATATGACAGGGACGGGCTACACTGTTGTAAATATGACAGGGACGCGTTACACTGTTGTAAATATGACAGGGACGGGCTACACTGTTGTAAATATGACAGGGACGCGTTACACTGTTGTAAATATGACAGGGACGGGCTACACTGTTGTAAATATGACAGGGACGCGATACACTGTTGTAAATATCACAGGGACGCGTTACACTGTTGTAAATATGACAGGGACGCGTTACACTGTTGTAAATATCACAGGGACGCGTTACACTGTTGTAAATATCACAGGGACGCGTTACACTGCTGTAAATATCACAGGGGGGGGGCGTTACACTGTTGTAAATATGACAGGGACGCGTTACACTGCTGTAAATATCACAGGGACGCGTTACACTGCTGTAAATATCACAGGGACGCGTTACACTGCTGTAAATATCACAGGGGGGGGGGGGGGCGTTACACTGTTGTAAATATCACAGGGACGCGTTACTGTTGTAAATATGACAGGAACGCGTTACACTGATGGAAATATCACAGGAACGCATTACACTGATGGGAATATCACAGGGACGCGTTACACTGATGGAAATATCACAGGAACGCGTTACACTGCCACACAATAACATTTCTTGTCACCTAACTTCCGTCACACACTTAGCAATGGACGACCATATTCAACACTGCACAAGCTTCTTGTCAGAAGTAATATACATACGCATTAATTGGACGCTTTTTACCTATTGCGCGCGCACAAACATCGGCGTATAACCGCCGAGCAACACTGGCTTCACTCGCGGCGGGACGAAATGTCTTAGTTTCCCCGTCAGTAAAGACGAGCGCGATAGAAATCGGGATGTTGTGAACCTCACCCATGGGGGCTGGTCCGAGCGGGGCAGCGCACGCGCGGAGGGAGCGGGGCAGCGCACGCGCGGAGGGAGCGGAGCACGCAGGTACGTTCCCGAGGAAGGTTGGTAACTGACTGAAACTCTGGGAAGCAGCCGACCCCATGCTGCTACTGTGGTGGTCCTGCAGCTGGGCTACCCTCAAGCCCCGCCCACCACCACCACCATCTTCACCAGCCCCACACAGCCACCAGCCCCACACAGCCACCAGCGTGCCCAGACCACTAGCCCCCCACAACCACCAGCGTGCCCAGACCACTAGCCCCACACAACCACCAGCGTGCCCAGACCACTAGCCCCACACAGCCACCAGCGTGCCCAGACCACTAGCCCCACACAACCACCAGCCCCCCACAGCCACCAGCGTGCCCAGACCACTAGCCCCACACAGCCACCAGCGTGCCCCGACCACCAGCCCCCCCACAGCCACCAGCGTGTCCAGACCACTAGCCCCACACATCCACCAGCGTGTCCAGACCACTAGGCCCACACAGCCACCAGCGTGTCCAGACCACTAGGCCCACACAGCCACCAGCGTGCCCAGACCACTAGCCCCACACAACCACCAGCGTGCCCAGACCACTAGGCCCACACAGCCACCAGCGTGTCCAGACCACCAGCCCCCCCACAGCCACCAGCGTGCTCAGACCACCAGCCCCCTACAACCACCAGCGTGCCCTGACCACCAGCCCCACACAACCTCCAGCGTGCCCTGACCACTAGCCCCACACAACCCCCAGCGTGCCCAGACCACCAGCCCCCCACAGCCACCAGCGTGCCCAGACCACTAGCCCCACACAACCACCAGCGTGCCCAGACCACTAGCCCCACACAGCCACCAGCGTGCCCAGACCACTAGGCCCACACAGCCACCAGCGTGCCCAGACCACTAGCCCCACACAGCCACCAGCGTGCCCAGACCACCAGCCCCCCACAGCCACCAGCGTGCCCAGACCACCAGCCATCCACAACCACCAGCGTGCCCAGACCACCAGCCCCCCACAGCCACCAGCGTGCCCAGACTGTAACACAGGTTCGGGTTCCTCTCTCTTTACTTCCTTCTTTCTACTCCCTCTACCCGTATTCTTACTTATTATTCTCTACCAAGGGACTCCAAAACTTTTACCAAAGCCAACTCCACGCCACGTGGTCCTAAGACGATTGACCGACTTAGGATTCTACACCCAGTATGACGTGACCTAAGCTCTGAACAAAACCCTAGAGTCGCCTCTGCTGCCACCACCAGACCAGTAATACAAGAGCAATGATCGAGGTCTGGATCGATCACGCTAATTAATCAACCTAGGGGCTTGATCCCCACTATAAACGATGACCTTGAGTGTGGAATAAATTACACGGTAATGATAATTCCGATTCGATGTTAGAATCGGCGCCCAATGCAACTCTGCCTCGTGTGGACCACGTGACCAGGACAAGTATACACACAAAACACATGGAAACAATAAAATGCAAATTAATAACAAATTTAATTTATTAAACGAAACTAAAACAAAATCTAAATATGTTCACTCCCTATCAATTTAACACTCCCTACTTGACCTGAGTGGCAAATGAGACTATTTCTATACTTAACAATAGCAACTATACCTTGGGCGACCACAGTTCTAGGTGTTGGGCCTGTTCTTGGGGAGAGGTAAGATGTTTGACCTCTCCTAGCTGCTTCCGTGACCACACTGACTTGTCCTCGTCTGGCCTAGCCCAGACTAGAACCTTGTATTGTTCCGCATCGCTTACCCAGTTACTTTAGCACGGTTAAGTTATAACAATTATCCTCTGTTTATACTGAATTGATCCAGACTGGTTGAATTATTTTACTGAATTAAATTACAAACATCTAACGGCAGAGCTGTTCCCGATCACAAAAATGGTTATTAAAACTTTGAGAAATATTAGACATGTCAACCCTGCTGACCTATGACCGCCGGTCACTCCGCCTCAAAAGTTAGATCTGATTCGTGACGTCACTGATGGTGACTTAAACTCAATAATTAGAATACTCTTGATATTGTACCCAGTACTATTATACAATACAATTTTAATGCAAAATGAATAAAGGCTAATTTTCTCTAAATTCCTGAATACTATAGGATGATTCATTTTACGCAGCTATGAACAAAGCGTTGGTTATTTCCACCGCGAATTCCCCTGGGGGTCAGGTCACCATGCGGCTCAGCTTCCCATTCTCTTTTGTCGATAAACCCCTCTGGATAATTCTTACAACAGCCTAGTTTGTTACAAGACCACCAGCCCCCCACAGCCACCAGCGTGCCCAGACCACCAGCCCCCCACAGCCACCAGCGTGCCCAGACCACCAGCCCCACACAGCCACCAGCGTGCCCAGACCACCAGCCCCCCACAGCCACCAGCGTGCCCAGACCACCAGGCCCACACAGCCACCAGCGTGCCCAGACCACCAGCCCCACACAGCCACCAGCGTGCCCAGACCACCAGCCCCACACAGCCACCAGCGTGCCCAGACCACCAGCCCCCCACAGCCACCAGCGTGCCCAGACCACCAGCCCCACACAGCCACCAGCGTGCCCAGACCACCAGGCCCACACAGCCACCAGCGTGCCCAGACCACTAGGCCCACACAACCACCAGCGTGCCCAGACCACCAGCCCCCCACAACCACCAGCGTGCCCAGACCACTAGCCCCACACAACCACCAGCGTGCCCAGACCACCAGCCCCCCACAACCACCAGCGTGCCCAGACCACCAGCCCCACACAGCCACCAGCGTGCCCAGACCACCAGCCCCCCACAACCACCAGCGTGCCCAGACCACCAGCCCCCCACAACCACCAGCGTGCCCAGACCACCAGCCCCCCACAACCACCAGCGTGCCCAGACCACCAGCCCCCCACAACCACCAGCGTGCCCAGACCACCAGCCCCCCACAACCACCAGCGTGCCCAGACCACCAGCCCCCCACAACCACCAGCGTGCCCAGACCACCAGCCCCCCACAGCCACCAGCGTGCCCAGACCACCAGCCCCCCACAGCCACCAGCGTGCCCAGACCACCAGCGCCCCACAACCACCAGCGTGCCCAGACCACCAGCCCCCCACAACCACCAGCGTGCCCAGACCACCAGCCCCCACAACCACCAGCGTGCCCAGACCACCAGCCCCCCACAGCCACCAGCGTGCCCAGACCACCAGCCCCCCACAACCACCAGCGTGCCCAGACCACCAGCCCCCCACAACCACCAGCGTGCCCAGACCACCAGCGCCCCACAACCACCAGCGTGCCCAGACCACCAGCCCCCCACAACCACCAGCGTGCCCAGACCACCAGCCCCCCACAACCACCAGCGTGCCCAGACCACCAGCCCCCCACAACCACCAGCGTGCCCAGACCACCAGCGCCCCACAACCACCAGCGTGCCCAGACCACCAGCCCCCCACAACCACCAGCGTGCCCAGACCACCAGCGCCCCACAACCACCAGCGTGCCCAGACCACCAGCCCCCCACAACCACCAGCGTGCCCAGACCACCAGCCCCCCACAGCCACCAGCGTGCCCAGACCACCAGGCCCACACAGCCACCAGCGTGCCCAGACCACCAGCCCCCCACAGCCACCAGCGTGCCCAGACCACCAGCGGCCCACAACCACCAGCGTGCCCAGACCACCAGCCCCCCACAACCACCAGCGTGCCCAGACCACCAGCCCCCCACAACCACCAGCGTGCCCAGACCACCAGCCCCCCACAACCACCAGCGTGCCCAGACCACCAGCCCCCCACAACCACCAGCGTGCCCAGACCACCAGCCCCCCACAACCACCAGCGTGCCCAGACTAAACTGACGTACACAGCCTGCGTGCGCTCCGTCATACACTATGCCCAACAAGGTTTATGCACCTACTCACAAAGCGATATGAAAAGGCTCGAGAGCATACAAAGTGAAGCCATGACAATCATTCATGGAGTCCCAAGAACTGCCACTAATCTATGTGAGTTGTCACTCCCTAGTGTTAAAAGCATAGTTAGGGAACAGAATGCTAAGCTTGTAATTAAGATATCCAGGCAGATAGATAGCCAGATAAGCCAGAAAAGATAGCCAGATAGATCCTCATTACGATGATATTGCCAAGTAAATGCTGAGTTCTGTGCTACTTAGAGGAGGAAACAGGGAGAAGCAAAAAATAGCATCAGAGATCAGTCTGCTCCCTCGAAAAACTTCACCTGCTTGAGCAAGCCCGTGAGCTCCTGCCTGTAGAGAGGTTACCTCCCTGGGAGGATGACCCATGTAGGATCATCATCAACGAGATGACAATGAAAATGTCCAACATGATACCACAAGAAATGATGCGTATCTTGAGGAAATTTATAAAGAAGTTGGGAATGAATTAGGTCACATCTTCACTGCTGGGTCATCTAATCCTACCAATGGCAGGGCTGGTTGCAGCATACACTGTAATTAGGAATAATGCCTTTCAAAACTCAAGTAAAGAAAAAGCGCGTATT